TACTTTTAGGCTGTGGAGCATCATGGGAAAATGCAGTGCATTCTATTGTGGGGAAGGTTATCAGCCAGCGGATGGGTTGAGAATGAATGAAATAGTATAAAGGTTAAAAGGAGGTTGTAACAGTGCAACTCCATAATCATAGAATACCAGGGTTGGAAGGGACCTCAGGAGGTCAATCTAGTCTAACCCCCTGCTCAAAACAGGACAAATCCCCAATTTTTGCCCCAGATCCCTAAACGGCCCCCTCAAGGATTGAACTCACAACCTTGGGTTTAGCAGGCCAATGCTCAAACCACTGAGCTACCCTCCCCACAAAGAGTGGTTGACATATGCATGTAGGGCCAGGTCGAAGTAGTTAATTACTGTTCTGTATTGACAGTAACACACAGCTACAATTCCTCTCACATGAGCTAACCAAGTTGTAGGGGTGCTACACCACCCTTTAGGAAGGGGTAGTGTACACATCTCACTATGGCTGGCCAGCTGTACCTGCCATTTCATGGGCTAATGAGGACAGTGGCCGTCTCAAACTCATGTGGGATGGTTTGCACCTCAAGCAGTGCTAAGTGTACTCTGGAGCTGGGGTGTAATTTCCAGCTCTGGTAGACAGCCCAGCACTAGCTTGGATTGAACCAGAGTGCTAAAAATAGCAGCATAGGAAGAATTGCATGGACGAGCCAGATGGGCTAACTGCCCAGAGTTCAGTCCCACCTGAAACCCTCGGTATGTACTTGGGATGGTTAACTCGTGCCCCCACCCGCACCTCTGGGGCTATACCGCTATTGTTAACACTGGTAATTACACCTTCCAGCTCCAATGTAGACACAACCCAATAGTAGTCAGCAACCCCTGCACGAAGGAGGGAGTAGGGAATGAAACGGGGCTGAGCCCGTGCACAAGGGATGAAAGGTTGATGGAGAAAAAGGCTTCTTTGTGCCTTCCCGCACCTGCACACCCGAGCAAGTACTAGTCACAATCTGGCCGATAGTAACTTTATGCCACAGTTTGTGGACTATGTTTTTTTAGTGATCAGGGAAATTCCATATTAAGAAGATTGGGCCCTACACTGCCATGAGGTTTTATCCCAGTAGGAATTTCAGCCAGTTCAAACCCACAACATTCACTAATCAAACCCTTTGCTGCCAGCAGTTGGGATTTTCCAGCACTAACCGCTAGCTCAGTCATGCTGGGATTCTGCATTAGTGGTTAGCCAGCATAATGTCTCCTTGTGTGATAGCTACAGTCAACATGGCCCTCAGCCTGTCAACTCCACATTTATGGTCACCATGACCCTTCCCCCATCATATTTTTTTCTAAACAAGGATATCTTTGCTTACAGGGGTCTACAAAAATCCTGCTGCCATAATCACAGAAAGGGGTACATAGAACTCAACCAGATTGTAGTTTATGAGGACATTTGCATACTATGCTGGTATAGTCATGCACATTATGGAAATCTACTGCTCTGCAAGAGAAACTATCCTTCCACTCAATCAAGATCCTAAATTAGGCTCAGGAATGGGCATGCAACTGACAGGCTGCTGGAACTTCAGTAACTACATTTAGCAAAACTCACTGGGTCCCTAAGCAAAAAGGCATCAGTTAACTTTGTGCAACATTGCTAAAACAAACCAAATGCAGTCCTCACAATTTTATCATGCTTCTCAAGTTATACGGCATGTTTCTTTAAGCCTGAGCTCCTGGAGTCATGGGAAAATGTGAGAAATTCAACTCTTTTTTTTAAAAGATACATTTCTAGCTTTCATGGTTGGAGAGAAAAGGTTGAAAACATGACCTGTATGCACCCTAAAGCTCAGGAATCAGAAGGCAAATAAAAAGAACTCAAGATGTATTTAGGAAAACAAACCATGATTTTTAAGCCAAGCTCATGATTTCTGGGGAGTTGGCAATATTGCAAACACAACTGTACTTGAATCATAAAGGAAAATGAACACACACGTGTCAAAACCACAGCAATATTCTGACATGGAAGAATCAATCATCTCCTGACCACTTACAGCATAAAGATGGAATAGACCCGGCAATAGTGGAAGACTCTGGGCTATCTTTAAAAACAGAGATCTCAGGAACATCAGAGAATATTTAATATTCAGTTTGGCACTGAAATTTTTAAGTGCAAGAGGGTGAAAATGATCAAAAGAAAAATGCAGGCTGAATATAAGAGAAAAAACGTTCACAGTGACGCCTACTGGATTGCAAAATAGTCTCTCTGAGGGAAACAGCAGAAGCTTGAATCACTGAAAACTAGACTGGACAGAAGATGAAGGGATGACAAGCTGCAGTGGCTTACCAAGGACGGAAGGACAAAACAGCTGAATAAAGTAGGTCTCTTACAATTTTGCTTTCTACAATTCAATGGTATACGAGTAGAAGCTGGGATGGGGTGCACCATAGCCACCTGGGAACCCATTCTGAGATTATCAGACTTTTGAACTGGCCACATGGCATCACCACTCCTCCACAAAAGTAAGAGCTGACTATGCATTTTTCGGGCAGGTAAATAGTGGTTGGGAAATAATCTGGTGCCAGAAAAGTTTGAGTGTCCTGATAATCCATTCAGATTCCCTCCATGCCTACCTTCAACTAGACATGAAGAAAGTGAATTCATTTCATGGGCAAGAAATTCAGAAAGACACATAGGCTGGGCATCACAATGTTGCCCAATGTGTGCAGGATATGGTCAGTGTTTGTTTCATTTTAAAAACTCAAGATCAGCCAAAAACAGAACCTTAAATACAGCCCTCCAGGAATTTCAGGAAGGACGCGTGATGATTTAGACCCAACTCATGGATCTGAACTCACCTGTAGTGTTTTATTTCCAGATGGTATCCAAAACTGAAAGGGGACTGCTTACCCATTTGGGTGCAGAAATGGATGAAATCTCATGAGAAGAATTCTAGAATAATTTGGTGGAAGTCTCCTGAGAAGATCTGATCTCATGAGTTTTCCATCATTTGGGGCCAAAAGCTCAAGAGAACAGTTCTCAAGATGTCACTACCACTGAATCTGAATCTCAGTTACGGACTCTTGTCTGTGTTCTACCCCATGTCTGATATGATCATATCGAATTAATATAATCTAATTGCATAATTTAATGAATAATGAATAATCTAATTCACTTAATCTGGTTCCAGATTCCAATCTAAGACCCGCCCCAAGGGCTGTCTCTATTTAAAATGTTTGTCCTCACAACTGCTCATTTCGTCTTTACAGGATAATTAAACTTTAGCAATCTCACAAGTAGGACGGTGGCATTTCCATGTATTATTGGCCTAATGATGATGAGCAGGAAGTGACATCTCTTTGCCATTAACCACTGAATGCCTCCATACCACTTCTACCATATTTGAGTCGTCTTCGCTGTCAGGCCTGCAACATCTTTGTAACAAGAGACAATAGTAATGTCTTTTATCTTCTCTTTGCCATATCTTAGATTATCTATAACAAACTCCTTGGAGGCCAGTTCATTGGTCACACTATTGAAAAGATGCTGTTCAAGAAACATTTTGTCAATTTTGGATGTTAAACAAAAGCCCTGAACTTCCACAGTTCAGCCATGACTGTTAGGAAGAGATGTGTGGCAAGTACCTGTTTGTGTAGTTTTACTTCTTCCACTTTCGCTCTGTTAAACATCTGACACATCCCTTTTTTTTCTCTCGCTCTCTCCCTAAAAAATGCATTTTCCTTCTGCAAGAAGAGCTAGGCAAAACTCCTGATTTCTAAAGACATGGAAATATCAAGGAATGAGAGAGTAAAAATGCCAGAGAAAATCCAGTCTAGAGCAGTGGTTCTCAAAGCCGGTCTGCTGCTTGTTCAGGGAAAGCCTCTGGCGGGCCAGGCCAGTTTGTTTACCTGCCGCATCCGCAGGTTCGGCTGGCCGCGGCTCCCACTGGCCGCGGTTCGCCACTGGAGGCCAGTGAGGGCTGAGGGAAGCAGCGCAGGCCAAGGGATGTGCTGGCCGCCCTTCCCACAGCCCCCATTGGCCTGGAGCGGCGAACCACAGCCAGTGGGAGCCACAACCAGCTGAACCTGTGGACGCGGCAGGTAAACAAACCAGCCCAGCCCGCCAGGGGCTTTCGCTGAACAAGCAGTGGACCGGCTTTGAGAACCACTTGTCTAGATGCACTGAGAAAAGAAATCAAAACGTGTCCATGCGTTAACAAGGTATAATGGAAGGTCTGGACCGCCTTTCTCAAGCAAAATTTCCATTGATGTTAATGGAAGCTTTGCCTGAGGAAGGATTGCAAGAGTGGCCTTTGCCAGCATCCTTTGCAAGAGTTATGGGGTGGAAGGCCAAGTTCTGTCATGGATTACAAATTGACTAAGGGTAAGAAAACAAAGAGTAGGAATCAATTATTGGTTTTCAATATGGCAATTGCTAACTGCCTTGAAATCAATGGATTTAAGCACTGGCTTACCTTTAAATACATGCTTATTTGGGGCCTCAGAAGCTAGAAAGATAAATGCCTTCACCTTAGAAAAGTTTCTATTATGTTCAGAAAAGAAAGGGGGCAGTGGTGTATATTGTATTGATCTATTGGAGGCATCTTTACTGCATAGAGTCCCTTTCGGGAGCAAACCGGAGCACTCTAAGGAACACTGAAGATATTCTGTGATGATATGAAAGGCTGCTAAGTAGCCTGGCATATATCAAATCTACTAGTAAAGTCCAGGAATGTCCTGACTTAGTCTCTAAGAAATGAGCAGATTTACAATAAGGGGGGAAAAATAAGTGAACATATGTTGGCATTTAAAATAAATTGTGTAAGTGCAAAGAGTTTATGTTTCAATCCACATCACTGCCAGGTCCTGAAATAGGTCAGGGAGCAAGGACCTTCTGCCTCAAAGGAGATTCCCAAGAGGAAGATTTCCATACTGAAGGCCAAGTTTTACAGTGACGAACTGCCCCCCCCCCCGCCCCATTGATTTCAATTACATTGTCCACATAAGTAAACAAACAAGGGTATTTTGTTCCATACCTGCTCCAAAGGCAAAGAAGAAGCTCTTGTCTGTGTTCTGCTTTAAAAGGGCCATCACTCTTTTCCCCATCCTCTCATTCCTCTTGTAAATGAGCTCCTGTCGGAAGTAGCTGTCTATCTCCTGAGCCGTCACTTGCTCATGTGGAGGGAGCGTTGTGTTGATGAAGTTAGGGAGCTGTAATGGAAAGAAATTCTGCAGTTCAGATACAAAGGCAGACAGAGAGAAACCAGTGGGCTTGGGGAAGGAGAACATGAAATAAAGGTTGGGTTCATTCAGCCAAGCATCCAACACCCTACGTTATTCGAGATTAACTGGAATTAACATTAACCCAAGTTTATCTAAGACACCCAAACTTCCTGGCACTGTAAACAAGGTGTGCAAATCATGTCAAATTGCAGGAAATTCCACAAGAGCATGCTTTTATTTTATTTTTTTTTAATATTGGCATTTTTACTTGTCTGGGACTGAATCGGGAAGTGCCAAGGAGAACATGAAACCGGAAAATAACGAGAAGGACAAAAAAATGAACAGAAGTCCACTGGATTTCAAAACCATGTTGTGTTTCATGTTGTGTTTGTTTTGAGTAACTATCTGAGGATGTTGGAGAGGCAAAAAAAAAAAAAAGTTACTGGCTACGAGAGCGAAAGGCACAGCAGCTTCAGATCTCAAGGAAGGGGCAAGGCAGTCAAAGATTCCTATCCCCTGGACTGGGTTTGAGTAAATAATGGCCATTCCACACTTGGCTCTTTGTGCAATATCCGCTGTAAAGGAAAGCCATAAATCAATTGGTTCTACATAAATACTACAAGCCTTTGTATTTCCTTGTATACCAAGATTCCATATTTAATGGGTATCAGAACAATGGATCTTAGCCAGCGGTGCGGGAGCTTTTAGAAGTTGAATTGGACGATGAAATTATAACTCAGCAGGTCTAAGACTGTCTAAAGGCACAGTACCTAGAAGTGGAAAAATCTCTCTTCTCCACCCATTGCCCAAAGGAAATGAAGGCCATATATAAGCATACAGATCCTGATCTGGAATTAGCTAAAATGCCTCCAGAGCAGGACCATCAGTGCCATATGCAAAATACTGATGCAAGATTGGCTGTCGGATGGTGGACCTGCCTCACTCCACCCCATTAGCAAGCCTAGCACTGATGCTGAAGCTAACCTTCCCCACCTGTCCAGGAAATACAAGGACTAGGGTTAGGGTTATACGTGATTATATGAAGCTCTGGCCCAAGCAGAAAGTTAAAATCCTTTAAAGTCCTTTAAAATCAGGCATTGGGTTTCCTATTCCTTTTCCATTCTCCTCCCAAAGAACAAGAGGAAGGGACACATTTAAGCCTCATCACTGGCAACACCATGCCAGCTCTGTAAACGCATTGTAAATTATTCTATTTTTAATGGCCACCACACTTAACATGACTGCCCCCTCGCTTGGGAAAGAGAAGGGGGAGAGCGAGGAGAGAAGATAAATGATTGAAGTACGCATAGCTATACACAGTAGTGCAAGCACTCGCCGAGCCTCAACGTCTGCTCCATTAATCATCTCCACTTCTTCCAATATCTCAGGGCCTTTCTACAGTTTGTGACATACGCCATGCCTGGCTCTAAGGAGGCAGCTGCTCCTGCTGATTTATGGAGCCTTTTGCCTCCTTAACCACCAGACAGGGATCAGCAACTCAAGAAACAGTTGCATGCAATTAGCAAGCTGTTAACCGTTGTCGGGAGTTAATTTTTTTTTTCAAATTGTTATTGTAAAAGCTCAACCTCAAGAATTCAGCAAGGGAATTGGATGCCCCCCTGTTAAGTGTTCCCTGGAAGGCCCCATGTTTTTATTCTCTCTCCCCACCCCATGGAGACTTTTTGTTTGGATTCAAGATAAAGTATATATAGCTCCCCCTAGTGGTGCATACATGTGTACTATGCTGCTAACCCCTCAACTGGCTGAGCTGCTAAAAGGGAACAGCCTACTAATGCTACTAGCTGAGCAAGTTGCTTCTGTAGCTTTAAACAGTAGTGACTGCTGTTGAGAGTCCTGGGTTCGAATCCTGCTGTTGATCTACACAAGCAGAATTTAGATATTCAGGAAACCCATTGCCAAGCAATATGCGGAGAGAGCGCTCCTTGCAGGAGACAGGTGGGAACTGAGTGTGAAGCCTTTGAAAAGCATTCAGCCTCCTGGCAGTCTCCACGCACAAGCTTACAGAGGCATTATGGCTGTGCTGCTGTATGAGAGCTCATGTAGCAGCGTTATGCCGATGGGAGAGCGTCTCTCACCAACATAGCACTATGCACATGAGCGATTATGCCAGCAGAATTTGTGTCACTCTGGGGGGGGGGTGTATTTCCCCCCCTCCCCCTTAGACGACCTGCGCTCAAGTTCCTGCTCCACCACAGACTTCCTGTGTGATTTTGGACAAGTCACTTTGTCTCTCTGTGCCTCAGTTACCCATCTGTATAATGGGAACAATAGAGCTGGCCTGCCTCCCAGAGGTGTTGTGAGAATAAATGTTATGCAGCAAGATTTAGCCAGAGCCTGGATGTGAGGAACTAGAGAGAGGTCAGAGTCAAAGAAGATGCCCAGGTTACAGGCCCGAGCGACAATAAATATTATCTGGAAATGGTGCTGGGTTCTACCACAGCGGTCAGCATAAAAGCCTTCGTGTAAAGCTTCAGAATGCCACAGCTTAGCAAATCATGCCAGCTTGGTCTCCACAGCTGTACTGTGCAATCAGCTCTGTCTACGGAGAGAGAGAAAATATGTTACGTTAGCACAACGTCCTGCAGTATCGTTAACGGGAAGCAAAACACAGAGAGAAACAATGGTCTAGCTCGTGCCCTGATGGAACGGAGATGTTATAAACACTAAAGTACATTTTTTCACAGGGGTGTTTTGTTTTTATTTTTTTTAATGCTCAGAGGAGTTTGGGGACTGACGCAAAGAATCAGAGATTTACCAAATCTGCCTGAAAACAATTACCTCAGACACGTGTAAGTGCAGACACTTCAAGCTAAATTCATTGGTGAATAAAACAAAGCAGGCCCAACCTATACTGATAGACCTTTTACAGTCTCCAGTTGCTTTTTCCTGCCGCAATAGAAATAACTGCTCCTGATCCCATCTACCCCTGTAGAACACCACTGACCCCAATGGAGCATTTCTTGAATCAGGCCCAGCAAACACCAGCATGGTGCAATTTTCACTCCTGAGACAAGCTACGCATAGCTTTATTTCCCAGACTACTTACACCCTATTTGACCCCTGCTCTAGTTACTCTATGTGGACTAACTCCATTCAGGTCAGTAGCCTTGCAGCAGTACGAATGAAATCAGAATCAGGCCTTTTTAAATTCACAGATGACTTTGGCCCAAAGGCTTTCACGGGAATTGGGCCTCCGTATATCAGTCAAGTGCAAAGAGTGCAGGCTCCCGTTAGATGTTAACGCAGGAATATCTCTGACCTGGGTTGATCTGTGGGTGAGACTGGCGGGGTGAAGATGAAGAGTGAGTCAGTGTTATTGCCCTTCAAGCTTTAGTCCATCTGTGACTCAAGAGGATGAGCCCCAGATATGAAAATGGGACAGGGACAGAAAAATTCTTCTCAGTTACCCCCACGTCAAAACAGAGAAACCCTACTGAAGACATCCCAGTGTCTACGCAAGTGTCATTGTTGCCAATGTATGCACCGTAGAGACCATACATTCCCTTTCCTGAGGTGGGCATTATCGGTACAACCGTCAAACACAGACCTCAAACTAAGCATCTTCCCCAGGCCAGGTGGTCCTTAGGGTTTTCACTGAAGATCTGTCCCAGACTTTAGTTCCCTCTCTCTGCCTCAGAAAGGTTCCTCCAACCCCCTTTATCTCTTGGTTGAAAGCTAACTGAATTCACCTATACTATGGCTCAGCAGTAATTCCACTTCACCTGTATGTGGGGTTCAAACTCCTGATTCTTACCGTTTGGGCACCACGCACGCACACACAGAGTAAGGTACAGTACCTGCCCCAAACATTTCACAATCGAAACAGAGAACTCATGTGGTATCCCCATTTTACAGTCCGATGAAGTGAGCTGTAGCTCACGAAAGCTTATGCTCAAATAAATTTGTTAGTCTCTAGGGTGCCACAAGTCCTCCTTTTCTTTTTGCGGATATAGACTAACATGGCTGCTACTCTGAAACCAGTCATAGAACTGAGGCAGAGAGAGAGATTAGGTGACATGCCCAAAGTCAGAGGCAGAACACGGAATCGAACATGGATCTCCTGACTCCCAGTCCACAGTCTAAACCACAGGATCATCTTTCCTCAATTAACAGGACATGTCAGAGGAGCCCTGCATCCATAAGCAGTATTGCCAAGCCAGCAAGATAAAAAATTATGAATCAAGCTCTCCAAAATCATATAGATTGGCTTAAAGAGCATGAGTTTTTTATTTTTATTTATTTATTTTAAAGATCATCACTTTTTATTGGCCTTCTAGGTTTTGAGCCTTTAGACTTCACATTTTCTAGCTTTTCTCTGCAACCATAAGGCTAGAACCTTGCTATATTGAAATCCAGGGCCTTAAGCAAAACACTGAGGCTTTCGATTAAAATCACAAGAATTGACAATGCTGCTCAAACAGGATTCTAAAGACCCTAAGGAGAGTTCTAAAGGCTGCCAACCTGTCATAGTATGTAAGATTCAAATTGAGCCCAGCTGAGCTGCTCTCAATTTATACCAGTGTTTTTCAGCAAGAGGCGGACATTTAAGTAACGGTTATCATGGCCTATACAGAGAAGGGACTCCACTGCTAACAAAGGTCAACAGGGTATTGCATTTTTATTCCAGTGTTACAAAATGTACTACTTGGACTTGGAAGACACCTGTTCTCCTCTGATTTATGGACATTTCTAACATCTGGCCGAACAATCTATGGTTACTTTAGCCTGTAATGTGAAGAATTCCAATAGCGCATGCCGAATGGACTGTGAGCCGAAGAGTAGCCAAGAGAAGGATAAAGCCGACATGGGATTGTGGTTGCTGAAATGACGACTGCTGCTGACTCAACCGTTTCTGCTCCAGGAGCCATGAGTTTCCTTCCGAAAGGGCCCTCAATAGCCAAGAAAAGAGGCAGCTAATTAATTTGGTATGGCCCAAAGTTGGCAGCTTCCAAACAGATCAACTCCTG